CTGCGGGGGGGTTGGATGCCTGTGGCTGCGGATGAAGTTGACGGTTTCGGGTTTAGGGGTGAGGGTTTAGCCCCTTAAACAAGGGAAAATGGAAACTGCCCCAAGGGCCTACCTAGAAGTTGACCGTTTGGGGTTTAGGGTTGAGAGTTTAGGGTTGAGGGTTTTAGGGGGGGGGGGACATGCGTACGGTTGCTGGGCTTGGGGGACGGCTTGGGGGACTGGAAGGTTGTTTTGGGCTGGCTGGTGTTGGGATCAAGACTCCCTAAACCCAAAACCCAAAACCCTAAACCCTAAATCCCAAACTCTAAACCCTAAACCCCAAAGTTTCTTTCGGGGATACACAGGTAAGTCACAGGGGTGCAGGGAGCCACTCAGCTTCAAAGTTCACTGCGCAACATGCCCTTTCCGGCATCCCAACATCTTCATAAGGGTTTAGGGTTTAGGGTTAGGGTTTAGGGTTTAGGGTTTAGGGTTTAGGGTTTAGAGTTTAGGGTTTAGGGTTTAGGGTTTAGGGTTTAGGGTTTAGGGTTTAGGGTTTAGGGTTTAGGGTTTAGGGTTTAGGGTTTAGGGTTTAGGCTTTAGGGTTTAGGGTTTAGGGTTTAGGGTTTAGGATTTAGGGTTTAGGGTTTAGGGTTTAGGGACATAAAGGCACTCCAACCCTGTTGCTTAAAACTCAACCCCCACCCCGATTCCCAGACATCTCAAGACATTAACAGACCTTCGCCCGTGCCCAAGAATCTATAAGACTTAAAGGTAAAGGGGAAGAATCGGGTGGGCACCCTGAACCCGGAACCCAAGATAAATAAACTTCTACAAGCCTCTGTAAGTCCTAAACCCTCAGCACCCTATACCGTACCAGCCACCCTTACAAGCTGTAGACCCGAACCTGCTTTTGATGACGATACACCCTTAGCGAGGTACTATTTTCCGACGTCCCTAAACCCTAAACCCTAATTAAATCCTCACAAGATATCAGAAATCCTTCCCTCAGGGTAGACGTGAACGTTCATGAGTAGTTATAATTAAGTAGGGGTAAAAGAACCCGAAATAAATTTTTCCCGGTCACAATACTTATCGCCCACCCTATAACTACCCATGAACCTCCAAGTAAGCCCTGAAAATGGCCCACCTTATCGCAGACCCCGCCTCCAGCAAGGGTTCCACCCCGCGCCCCAACCGGTCACACCGCCCGCACCGGCAGGTTGGGGGGGGGTGGGGGGGGGGTGTGGGGGGGGCTGACGCACCCGCTCGCAGGGCTCCCTCACCACCCCCATCGCATCCGCTGCCCAGAGCCACCCCAACCCCCCCCCCCCCACAACCCACTGCAAGTAAGCCCTGAAAGTTCCAAAAGGGTTTAGGGTTTAGGGTTTAGGGTTTAGGGTTTAGGGTTTAGGGTTTAGGGTTTAGGGTGATTGGAGGCTTCTCCACCTGCAGCGGCTGCCCTGGAGCAGTCCAGGGTGCCGTGGCCGAGGTTGGCATTGTGAGGCCTGGCTGGGTCAGTTGAAATTATTAAGGGTTCAGGTCCGGGGAAGTTTCGAGGAAAGTTTCGAGGAGTTTCAAGGAGTTTCTTTTTTTAGTCTTTCTTAATGATTTCAAGTTACAGGGGGCTTGAGGGTTTAGGGTTTAGGGTTTGGAGTTTAGAGTTTAGGGTTTGGGGTTTAAGGTTTAGGGTTCAGGGTTTAGGGTTGAGGGTTTAGGGTTTGGGGTTTGGGGTTTAGGGTTTGGGGTCTGGGGGTTTAGCGCGTTTATAAAGTCTAGGAGTTTAGGGTTTAGGACATACAGCAGGGACTCGTGACCAGAGGGATGAGGTTCATGGGGGTAGGGTTTAGGGGTTGGGCTTCAGGGTAGTTTAGGGTTTAGGGTTTAGAGTTTAGGGTTTAGGGCGTAGGTTAAGGAACCTTCGAGAAGATTCCGGGGCCCTATAAGGAGCAGTGGGGAGTACTAGGGAACCCTGGGTTACGTACCCCCCTGAGCCTAAACCCTAAACCCTAAACCCCAAACCCCAAACCCTAAACCCTAAACCCTGCAACCCTAAACCCTAACCTTAAACCCAAACCCTTGAACCCCCCTCCCTTAAGATTCCTATAAACGTACGGAGGAAGCTTTCGAGGCTCATGTCGGCGGGGGGACACGGTGTGCTAAACCTGAAAACTCGTTTCCGGGAAGGTGTATAGCCCCCAAAAACCTTAGGACTTCGGTTTTCGGGGCCTGAACCCTTAACCCTAAACCCTAAAACCTAAACCTAAACCCTACTCTGGGCCCCCCTGGGCCCAAGAATCCTCTCCACCGCCAAGCCCTAAGACCCTCGAATCCCTAAAGCCCTCCCACAACCCTAGCCCCAAACCCATAAACCCAATAAACCCAATAAACCCAAGAAACCCAAAAAAACCATAACCCTGAACCCTAATCCCTGATCCTTAAACCCGACCCATAAGCCGCAGCCCCAACTCAGCTCAAGACCAGAGTAGGCGAAGACCTTTTGCAGTTGGGGCTGGCTGGGGATGTAGGCTTTTTCGGTTCCGAAAGACATCGCTAAAGATCCCCAAGGCCACGACAAAGGCTGACAACCCACGTAAGCCCCATCAACGGTGAGGCTTTCGGGTTTGGGGAGCTGCGAGTTCAGGGTTTACAGGGTTTAGGGTTTAGGGTTTAGGGTTTAGGGTTAGAAAGCTAGAGTAGCCCGTGCATCATTAGAGAAGGAATGATGCGCCCCATCCCTTGTTTGTAAGTGGTATCTATAGGCTACTTGAAGGTCCATGGGTAGCGATAAGTAGGGCTAAAGGTACCCTTAACATTAGGGTTTAGGGGTTTAGGGGCTTAGGGGCTTAGGGGTTTACGGGTTTAGGTTGTAGGGGTTAGGGGTGTAGACAACCCTACACCCTATAACCCCCCAATCCCTGATGGCCACCCTATTCCCAAAACCCTCAACGCTATAAACCCTGAACCCGGGTCACCCTATTCCCTAAACCCTCAACCCTAAATAAACCCTAAACCCCAACCCCGTGTTACGGCCTCTGCAGCCAGCAAAGGCCTCTCTTGGCTGGCATAGAGCTGAGATTGAAAGCGATGTCCCTGGCAAGTGAGAGCAGTTTCACAGGGTTTAGGGTTTAGGGTTTAGGGTTTGGGGTTTGGGGTTTAGGGTTTAGGGTTTATGGTCGTAGTACACCGAAACACCTGGGGATGTTCCCCCAACACCAACAGTCCCTAACTCAGGGATTCTAGTACCCCCCCCCCCCCCCCCAATACAATCCCTACTAAGGTCTGTTAGTAACAGGGGGAAACCCTGTAAACCCTAAACCCTAATTAAACCCCAACTAAACCCTGAACCTTTATCCCCAAGCCCTTCGTCTGTCGTCGCTCATGCAGGATTTGGTGCACCGGCTCTTGGTCTATTGACGGTACCATATTTTACTCGCAACTCAAAACCCTAAAGCCCTAAAACCCAAAAACCTGACCCCGAAACCCCAAAACCAAAATAAGAACATAAACCCTGAACCCTGAACCACTAAAGCCCTAAACCACTAAGCTAACTCCAAAAACTCTAAAGTCCGAAAACCCCACCCCCATAAAATTCAGCCTTTGTCTCCCCTCCCCTTCTCTCGGATCCGTGAACCCCGGCTCAGGGTTGCTCGCAGGTCTGGGGTGGCGGGGGGGGGGGGGGGGGGGGGGGGTTGGGTTTAGGGTTGTCTTAGGGTTCTTGGGCTTTGGGGTTTCGGAGGCCCTTGAAAAGAAACCCCCAAAGCCCAAACCCCAAGCCCCAAGCCCCAAGCCCCGACCCCAAAACGCCCAAAACCCCCCAAAACCCTAATCCCCCCAAGCCCTAAACCCTAGACCCTAAAAAACCCTAAACCCCCCCAAGCCCTTATAATATATCAAGCGCCGCAGACGCCTTGTGCTCGAAGGCCGCTGCTTGGGCCAGACATGTCAAGGCTGCCCACCTGCGTTGTGTCACTGGCTGGCTCTTAGCAGGGAATGAGGGAATGAGGGTTTAGGGTTTAGGGTTTAGGGTTTAGGGTTTAGGGTTTGGGGTTTGGGGTTTAGGGTTTAGGGTTAGGGAATTAAGGTCCTAAATGAAAATCCCTTAAATGATGGTTTGTATAGGGCCCTCATTCCTCCTTCCCTACTGGGGAGCCAGCACTCAAGGGGCTCAGGAACTGGGTCCAGGGAGCTATACTTCAGGGTTTAGGGTTTAGGGTTTAGGGTTTAGGGTTTAGGGTTTAGGGTTTAGGGTTTAGGGTTTAGGGTTTAGGGTTTAGGGTTTAGGGTTTAGGGTTTAGGGTTTAGGGTTTAGGATGTAGGGTTTAGGGTTTAGGGTTTAAGGTGTAGGGTTTGGGGTTTGGGGTTTAGGGTCAAGGAAGCTCCCTGCAGCCTCCCTCTCGTGGCGCCCAAACCCTAAACCCTCCTAAACCCAAAACCCCAAACCATAAACCCCAAACCCTGAACCCTAAACCCTAAACCCCAACCATAAACCCTAAGCTCTAAACCCTAAGCCCCACATCCTAAGCCCAAACCCGAAACCCTTCGCCTGGCAAGCCCTGGGCCGTGGTTGCTCCACGGATGGCAAAGCGCCTGGCAGCAAAAGCGTAGTTTTTGATGGGTTTGGGGTTGTGGCTCTTTTTTGGGTACCCTAGCAAGGTTTTCCAGCCATCCCCATGTCGCCTCTGGCAGCCTAGGATTCTCAATTAGCTTGCTCAAGGATGGTATGCTATTTGCAACTGCAACGCCGCACTAGAAGTACTAGAATGTGGAGCTGATGACCTGCGAAGCATCCGACCACGACGCTTTGTTCAAGCAGGCCCCTTGCACAGGGCGTCTGGTCAAGCTGGGACGGTGCACGAGCTCCGATAGGTCAGGCAGCTTGGCAAAGGGCTTCGCCGAAAGCACGTGCTCGCCCAAAGCGGACTCAAACAGGCGACGAAAGCGAGTCCGGGATCGTTGGATAGATGCGACTCCATGGTTGTCGTTCCCTTCATGCGCCGCGTGAGTAGCCGTGAAGAGATTCAGCTGGGAGTCGCGTTGGCCTGGGCCTCTAAGCAGCGAGCTGTCTTCGCAAGGAGGTTTTTGGTCTTCAGGCGAATGCTGACCCAACCCTGGGAAGGCCCCTCACCGCTGCGGAGTACATAGTGCAAGCGGTCTCCAGCCAGCTCACACTGCTCCACCAAAGCGCCCGTAGCCAGTCTTTGCGGATCTTGCTCTGACGCCGTGTCCCTGCCCTTCCGGACAACGATACCACCTTGGTACCCCAGTAACCATATTACAATAAGGGCACCCTTTTTTTGTTGGTTGATTTCCAAGGGAACCTTGAACCACAAAAAGGGGTAAAGGGTACTACTGGACTACCAAGCCACCTTTGTCTGCACCACCAACAACCTCCCACAGGCATGGTGCTTCAGGCACTTTCTCCGCTGCTTTGACGGCGGCTACGGATGAACCTTGCGCTTGCTGTGATGGCTCCTGAGGTGTCACAAGCAAGGAAGAACAAACCCTGGTTTAGGGTTTAGGGTTTAGGGTTTAGGGTTTAGGGTTTAGGGTTTAGGGTTTAGGGTTTAGGGTTTAGGGTCCGCCGACCCTGACGGCGTGTTGGGAAAAGGAGCTGGTGACCTCCCTTCTGGGGGGGTAGGGGGGGGTACCCGGGCAGCTTTTCCATGGAGGGCCAGGCCACCCACACCGCATAAATTCACGGACCATAGGCGGTTTCGCACCGGACATAGGGGCCTTTGGGACACCCCCCCCCCACCCCCCTACCCCCCCCCCCCCTACCCCCCCACCCCCCCCCCCACCCCCCTACCCCCTCCTGCTTGCTCAACTCTTGGTGGCTGTCAGCTCCTGTTTGGGTCCTGGTGCTACTCCCCCCCCCCCCCCCCCCCAGCGTTTCACAGAGGCTCAAGCAAGTCAACTTTTGGATCCTTTGAGCTGACGAGCGCGTTTAAACCTTTCAACTATGCTCCAGCGGGGTCGGCGGCTTGAGCCGGAGGCTCTTAAATTTAGGGTTTGGGGTTTAGGGTTTCGGGTTTAGGGTTTAGGGGAACACCCCGCATCCCGAAACCAGAAGACTGCCGAGCGTCTGCCCTGCTGGTGATGGCACTCGAGTCGGTGTGGCTCGTCTGTGCATTTAAGACGGCCTTCGACTCCATGGCTGCCTCCTTTTCTGAAGCTCGGAGGTATGCGTCCTTGTCCCCAGAGAATGCCTTCGGCACGTCATCACTCACGAAGATCTTCCTGCAAGAGGCCAGGACAAGTCGAAAGAGGATAACGACCCAAACCAAGAATAAAGGGTTTAGGGTTTAGGGTTTAGGGTTTAGGTTCAAAACCCACAATCCCAGCTGAAGCCGCCCTTATTGCTCAGCTCCACAGGTCCCCAAGCCTGAGCCCCGTTTAAACTCTTCAAGCTCCGAAGAAAAACAAATACCCTAAACCCTAACCCCTTACAAGATTCTTGATACTACCCTTTGAAAGGAGTACATGAACCCTAAGCCCTAAAAAACCCCAAACCCTAAACTGAACAAAGACGTATCTTACTCCAGGACCCTAAACCCTAACCCAAACCCTAAACCCACGACCCAATTCAAAACCCTACAGCCCTAAAACCCCAAAGCCAGATCCTAAACACCTAAAAATGATTGTACTCCAGGTGATGCACGGCATACCGCAACACACACGCTAAACCCTAAACCCTAAACCCTAAACCCTAAACCCTAAACCCTAAACCCTAAACCCTAAACCCTACACCCTAAACCCTAAACCCTAAACCCTAAACCCTAAACCCTAAACCCTACACCCTAAACCCTAAACCCTAAACCCTAAACCCTAAACCTCTTTCGCCAGCGAGGGTGCCTAGGTCCGCTGTCTGACATGGACCTCGGGGCTGCTACCATCCGGCAATGACAGGGTTTAGAGGGTTTAGGATTTAGGGTTTAGGGTTTAGGGTTTAGGGTTAGGGTTTCTAGGGTTTAGGGGCCTGTTTTGGCGGGAGGGTACCTAACTTCAGCAAAAAACAATTGAAAGTTAGGTGGCCAAACATGCAACTACAAACTGAGCACCTGCTTAGGGAAGTTTCGTTAACGGGCCTCGAAGCACTAACACCCAAACACGCCAGAGGCAGGCATTAGGTGTTCAGGGTTTCCAGTTTAGGGTTTACCTTCTGAACCTATAAACCCTAAACACCATGTGAAGCCCTGGGCAGCCTGTAAACCCCATGAAATCTATAAGCCCCATAAACCCTAAACCCTAAACCTAAACCCTCACCTATCAACCCTAAACTTAAGCCCTGATGGGGCTAAGATTCGTAAAGCCCGAGTGACGGACAGCAGGCTTGTTGACGGGCTCTTTCTCCGCGGGTGGGTTGTGACCCTAAACCCTAAACCCTAAACCCTAAACCCTAAACCCTAAACCCTAAACCCTATTGTCTGGAAACCTGAGGCTTGGTAGCCCAATAGCCATGTTATAAAATGAGGGCACCCATTTTCCTGGCTTGGCGATTTTGTAAGGGTTTAGGGTTTAGGGTTTAGGGTTTAGGGATTAGGGTTTAGGGGTGTGTCAGGTTGTAGGGTAACCTTGAGCCAAACAAAGGGAAAAAAAGGGGGCACCACCGGGTTACCAAGTAAACCTCCAAAACGGGTTCAGGGTTTAGGCTTCAGGGTTTCGAGGGCTACCCCGGAGAAACCCTTCATGCCCTCAAAAAAAAAACTGGAAGCCTGCATAGATTGCGTGACTTGCTGTTTGTTCCGTCAACTCTAGAACCTTTTGTTCTGATGCAAGACCACTCTAAGGCAAAGGGTGTTGCGTTTTAGGCCTTCTTGGCCTTATATACTCCCACTTGATTCCTAACACCCTCAGCTGCCAGGCACTGCCATGCATGGGCAGACTCGCGGAACGAAGGCTTCTAGGGCTTCTAGGGCTTCTAGGGCTTATTAGGGCTTCTAGGGCTTCTAGGGCTTATAGGGCTTATAGGGCTTATAGGGCTTATAAGGCTTATAGGGCTTATAGGGCTTTATAGGGCTTATAGGGCTTATAGGGCTTATAGGGCTTCTAGGGCTTCTAGGGCTTCTAGGGCTTCTAGGGCTTCTAGGGCTTATAGGGCTTCTAGGGCTTATAGGGCTTATAGGGCTTATAGGGCTTCTAGGGCTTCTAGGGCTTCTAGGGCTTATAGGGCTTCTAGGGCTTATAGGGCTTATAGGGCTTATAGGGCTTATAGGTTGAAGGGTTACACACCCTGAGCTCTACAGACCTGAACCTTAATACGAGTCAAGGACTCTGAGGGAGAACCTCCCAAACCGAACGGCCGAGGTGCCCTGCTTCAACCGGGCGTCCCTCCTGGGTTAGGGTGCAGAGTTTAGGGTTGTTTAGGGTTTAGGGTTTAGGGTTTGGGGTTTAGGGTTTCAACTGGTGTTAGTGCGGGTTTCGGGCTTGGCACCATTGGTGTTCAGAGTTGAGGATGCAGGGGTTTATAGGGGACTAGCTGGGCACAGGGCTCCTTTTGCGGGCCTCGCACCCTTCCGGTGAAGATCAAAAGTATGAGCCCTCTAACAAATTGAGAGGAAAGGGGCCATCCTCGCACAAAGAACATGTAGGGCGCAGGGTTTAGGGTTTAGGGCTTAGGGCTTACTTGGAGGTTCATGGGTAGTTATAAGTAGGGTTACAAGTTACAAGTAGCATAGATAGGGTTGCAACCAGTTTTACGTGTACTTACCGGACTTATAGCCCGACTCATCACTCACCATGAACCTCCAAGAAAGCGCAAAACCGCGAAGAAACAAATCGACAATTGCAGCCTGAACCTCAACACCCTCAATCCTGAAATCTCCACTACCCTGCACCCTAAACCATAAACCCTCAACCCTATTCATGGGGTTGTTTAAACTCCAGCCCAGACTCGAAGACTGAGTCTGAGGGAGTAGTTGGGGGAGATTTCTCCACAAACCCTAGACCCTCTAAACTCTCTAAACTGTCAAAATCATCCAAACCCTGAACCCTAAACCCTAAACCCTGAACCCTGAACCCTGAACCCTAAACCCTAAACCCTAAACCCTAAACCCTAAACCCATCGCTGGGCCTTGACCCAGCCAGAAAAGCCGCCACTTAGAGTCGCCAGCATTGTGAGAGGGTGCCTTGACATGACATGTGGTTCGTTTAGGGTTTTAGGGTTTTAGGATTTTAGGGCTTTAGGGTTTCAGGGCTTGACTTAGGGTTTAGGGTTTGGGGAGTTTAGAGTTTAGGGTTTTAGGGAGTTTAGGGTTTAAGGATTAGGGTTTTCGGGTTCTAGGGTTCATGGTTTGGGGTCTAAGGAGTCTAAGTTTTGTATAGGGTTTTAGGGCTTTAGGGTTTAGGGAGTTTAGGAAGAATAGGGAGTTTAGGGGTTATGGGTTTAGGGCTTTAGGGTTTCTTTAAGGGTTAGGGTTTTAGGGCTTCCGGGCTCAGAGTTTAGGGTCTTCGGGTTTGGGGCTTCGGGTGTTGGGCGTAAGAAGCCAATGAAACCCCGACGAGAGGGCACTGCTACCACGAAGAGGAAAAAAGATCCACACCATGACAAGGAGTTTTTTGGCACCACGACAGAAAACAAGCCTACCACGACAGCGAATGAAACCTCAACACGACAAGGAGAAACCCAAACCCAAGCCCTAAACCCTAAACCCTAAACTTCAAACGTTTGGGGTTCAGGGTTCAAAGGTTCAGAGCTCTCACAGTACATCGACCCGCCGCGCGGCACGCCCGTCCAAGCAAACTTCAACATTGTTCGGGGGCCAAGTGTTTAGGGTTTAGGGTTTAGGGGTTAGGGTTTAGGGTTTAGGGTTTAGGGTTTAGGGTTTAGGGTTTAGGGTTTAGGGTTTAGGGTTTAGGGTTTAGGGTTTAGGTTACTCCTATAACTTGATTCTGGCTCAAGAGCATATGGACCTCAAACCTATGATTTCCCCCCCCCCCCCCCCCCCCCCACCTTGAATGAAGTGGTTTAAGGTCTCCACTGCATGCCCAAACCCCCCCCCCCCCCCCCCCCCCCCCCCCCCCCCCCACCCCCCACCAGCCCCCCGCCCCCCATGCGGGGCAATCACCGGGTTGGCGTTTTCAAGCCCCAAAAACGCCAAAACGGTGATTCCCCCAGTTGTAAAGCTTGTCAGTGTGCACCTTGACTGTGTCGTGGTAAGAACGCACTCTGAAACCCCGACAGCTATCAATCCTCATGGGCCATTGCGCCCAGCGAACTTGACTCTTAGAGTCTTGGGAAGAATCTACACCCCCCCCAAGCCCTAAATACACCAATTAAACCTTTATCGGCCTTCCGAACAGCCCAAAACGCATTCTGAGCATCGAGAGGGACTTTGAGAACAGGTGATTGCATGGAGGCTTTAAGTTTTGTGTGTGCCGCCCTCACACGCAGTGGTCGGCCCTAGACGGCAGTTGTACACGTCGGTCCAGCCCGTGACTTTTTCTTACCATAGCTTGCAGTGGAATTCAGACTGCAAAGGGGGAAGGGGATGGGGTGGGTGGGGAGAGGGGAGCGAAAGACAGTTGGAGGGCGTAGGGTTCGGGGTTTCCCTAAACCCTGAGCCCTAAGCCCTAAGCCCTAAACCCTACGCCACCCCTTGAGGGCTTGATGAACGAACAAAGCCAGGAGGCCCCATGATCTCCCAAAGCCAGTTCGAGGCGGAGAGATCCCGGCCGACCGTGGTGTGGATGAACTTGCTGTCCTAGGCCCAAGAGTAACCTAGGTTGAGGGTTTAGGGTTTAGGGTTTAGGGTGTAGGGTTTAGGGTTTAGGGTTTAGGGTAGTTCGATGCTCCCTCAGTAGGGGCCCTTAACAGGGAACCCCTTTTATACCCCTTACACACCCTGCAAAACTCAAGGAACCATACTTCGGAACCCTTTATGGGAGGCAAGGGACCACATCCAGGGACCGTGCAACTACTCTTAGATTTTGCGGCCCAAGAGCAACCCAGGAAGCAGAAGGGCGCCCTTTTTGGCTGGAAGGGGCTTAGAAGGCAACCTGAACCCCTAAGAAAAGGGAATCTGGGCCCATAAGCCCATATACTTTTGTATATACATATATATATATGTATATTTTTTGTATACCCTGGGTCCCAGCGGCATGAGTCGCATAGGTGACAATCCGAGTGGTCGCCAGATTCCACTCTCTCAGCTTCGAGAGCGTCCGCTCTTGCTCCATAAACATCTTGCCTTAGTTGTCCGGTATCCTAGGGGACCTTTTGGGATTGTATAGGGCTCGAAAATAATCCAAAGCAGTCATAAAGGCTACCTACTCTACATCCTAAGTTGCTGTAGGGGATGTTGTATGTAGGGATTAAAATGGCCCAAAAGGGTTAGAGGTTGCCCTCTCTACATCCTAAGTTGCTGTAGGGGATGTTGATGGCACCGGGGATGTGATAGTTCACGAAGTCCTCGTTGTCGCGCACGTCAATCACCAGCGTCTCCATTTTGAATGTGCCGGTCCTCGCTGCCCTCTCCACCACCAGCTTGGTCCTTGGCTGACTTCTGAACCCCTCCTAAACTACTAATTGCTTAAGACCCCCCCCAAAAAAAAAACTAAAACATACTCTTCCTTATAAAAGGTCAATATAGGGATTATCATTTGTTAGTCTTTTGGGGTTCTTAAGCAAATAGTAGTTAAAGGTCAATCTTTACGCCCCTTATTGTAGTTTCTACAAAAACCCGAAAGGCTAAAGTCCTCAGAGCCAGCCAGAAGAAAGCCAAGGGTCCCCAGGAGCGCCACTTCCTGGGTTTCCCTAAGACCCTCGGAAGGTTACTTTGACATGCGCTCTCGTCTTAAATCCAAGATGGTTGATCACGGCCCACGGTTCATCACCCTTTAAACCCTCGAAAGGCCATTCTGACATATGATCCCCCTCTTGAACCCCAGAAGGCGAGATATGGAACACCGTATCCCAAAGTCCAACCTCGCTTCTGACTGGTCGTGATGCAGGCGCACCGTCCATCGCTGACTCTCGGGGTTGTAGCCCACCACCGTGCCCTGCCTTGACAAGCTCTACAACAAAAAAACGCAGCTTGAGGGTTTAGAGATGTTGAGAGTACCCTAAACCCTAAACCCTAAACCCTAAACCCTAAACCCTTTCCCTAAACCCTAAACCCTAAACCCTAAACCCTAAACCCTAAACCCTAAACCCTCATGTCTGTTTGTAAGGTGCCTGCCGTTCAGCTCCACCTTTTTCAGGCCGTGGAGTTCCACCGTGGCGTGCTGCCCGAGCCCGAGCCCAACCAGCAGCTCATCCGCCGTGACCTTTCAAAAGTCATGTGTACCCAAATGATTGGTTTAGGGTTCAGGTTTAGGGTTTAAGGTTCAGGGTTCAGGGTTCGAAGTTCAGGGTTTAGGGTTTAGGGTGGTCAGAAGGGTTTAATCGCTTCCCCCTGTTACTAAAACCCCCCCCTAATTTTAAATACTATTTTTCCCGGGCCCTGCCGGCACCCAGCCCAATACTAAACCTGTTTGGGATTTAGGGGGGGAGGGGTTCAGGGCCTTCGCCCTTGAGTTGAGCCATTAGGGGTTTCGGAATTCAGGTTTTAGGATTTAGACCCCCCCTAGTTTTAAATATTTTTAGGGCCCAGGAGAATTTCAGAATTAGGGAGGGGGGGGGGGGGGGGGTGTTTAGTATTAGGGGGAAGGGATTAGGCTAGTTTTTGCAGGGGGTTTGCGGGGTTTGGGGTGTCTGGGTTTTGGGGGGGGGGGGGGGGGGGGATGGATTACTGTGCACGAACCCTAAACCCTGAACCCTAAGCGCCTGGAACCGCTGCTCCCGCGGGATGTTGCAAACAGCGCCATACTTCGCCAGAGACATGGCAGAAGCGACCGAAAGTGATCCAAGGATCAAGACATGCTTTAGAGTGTTTAAGGGCGGTTTCATAGGGCTTGACTTTTGGGGAACCAAATCCTTAACGAAGGGCTTAGTTCATTTTTTCTGCGCCTAGGGCACCGTCCGCGCCCTCTTGGACAGTGGCAGTTGCCTTTCTTCCCATGGTGAAACCTCTAAGCTCCAAGAAGCTTACTCCAAGGTTCATGGTCATAAGATGTTATAAGTAGGGTTATAAGTACTGTACATATGGATATAACCACCTATAATTATAGCTATCCAACTTTGAACCCCTGTTATAACTACCCATGAACCTCCAAGTTGGTCATTCAGCCAAGCTGGCCTAAGTTCTATAAACTGGCTCCGAGCACATGGGCAGAGATGAGTGTTTCGAAACCGTAGTACGACCTAGGGTTTAGGGTTTAAAAGGGTGTTCGGGCCTATTGCGTTAGAATGGAATATTCGGGTGGTTTGTTTTATGTTCGAATATATGAAGGTTGTTGAGAAAGTTTGATAGAGATCGCTATCTCTGCTCTAGGCCCTAGTCTGCATCCGTCCGGATGCAGCATGGCACGATTTGGTACTACGGAATCGGGTTTAGGGTGTATGGTTTCGGGTTTAGGGTTTACGGTTTAGGAATTAAGTGCCAATAAACCACGCTACGCAGGGCTTTGGATACCTAGTTCCATAAGGAGACGCCAGGGTTTATGGGGCGTATCGGATATGTAGAGGTTTCTAGGGTTCAGTAACCTTGTACCAGTACATTAGAGAAGGGCGAAATATACCAATACTTGTGGTGCACTTTCCTTTCTTGAAGGGTAGAAAGGCTACTCCAAGTAGGCCCTAATTGGAAGGTTCATGAGTAGTTATAGCTAGGGTGCAAAGTAGGATGACTACAGCTATAAGTGGGTATAACCTTAGTGACATGAGGTACTCATGAACCTTCAAGTAAGCCGTATACCCCAAACTCCCGGGGGCCCGAGAGCAGCAGGGATAGACACATAAACCCCAAACCCTAAACCCCAAACCCTAAACCCTAAGCCCTAACCCTAAACGGCTAGACATGGTGACGCGTTGTACTCCGAAGGGAAGACTCGAGTGCCCACCCATGAACCCCATAAATGCATGAAGCCGTATAGTTACTCTTTAGGCTTTTCATAGGGTTTGCGGCGTAAGGTTTAGAGTTTCTCTCCGTAAACCTTAAACCTAGACCCTTGACTCCAAACTTTCTAAGCCCCAAGCCGCAAGAACGGGCACTGTAGGCAGGGAGACGACTGGTGCGTTCGCTGGTAGCCTACGTAGACTCACCACCCCTAAGCCTGAACAGTGTTCAGCTAATATTTGCTTGAGAACCCCCCAAAATAGTAATCCCCATCTTACCCTTATAAGGAAGGAAAGAGCAAGTAGTAGTTAGGGTGTCTAGGGTTTGGGGCGTTTAGGGTTTAGGGTGCTTAGGGTCTGGTGTACAGAAACGCTGCAACCTGACATCCTGCAACCTCAAGCACCACTGAACCCCCAAACCACCAAAACACCTAGCCCTAAAGCCAAAAGGGCCAAAACCTAGTGCTTTTCAACCTCCTAAACCCCACACCTTAGACCCTAATCCCCAAAGCCTAACCCCCAAACCACAAACCCCAAACCCTAAACCCTAAACCCCAAACCCTAAACCCCAAACCTCCAAGCCCGCGTCAACCCTAAACCACAAACCCTAAACCCCAACCTCCCAACCCTAAACCCCAAACCCTAAACCCTAAACCCCAAACCCAAAACCCCAAACCCTAAACCCTAAACCCCAAAACCCCAAAAAATGCAGAAGATCACGCCCCTGGGCCTCTGCAAGCTCCTGAGTGGAGAGCGGCCCCCAGGACTGAAGAAAGGAGGTGCAGTCCTCGCTCGATTTAGGGTTTAGGGTTTAGGGTTTAGGGTTTAGGGTTTGGGGTTTGGGGTTTGGGGTTTTAGGGTTTTAGGGTTTGGGGTTTGGAGTTTGGGGCTTCGGGTTTGGTGTTGGGTTTTGGGGTTTGGGGTTGGAGGTTTAGGGTTTGGGTTTGGGTTCAGGGTTCAGATTTTCGGGTTCAGGGCTTAGATTTTGAGATTCAGCCTGGAGGGTGCAGTGCTGAGGGCATTAAGGTTGAGGCACGTACACACACAAAAAGATCAACCCCTCAACCCTCTAACCCTAAACCCCTCACCTAAATAACCCTAAACCCTAAACCCTGACCCTAAACCCTAAACTCTATATGGTAAACCCTGAGGACCACCTCATTGCCGGAACCAGGCAGTCACGTAAAGGTGACTTGGAGCAGAGTGTCGTTTAGGGTTTAGGGTTTAGCGTTTAGGGCTTAATTAGGGTTTGGGTCTTAGAGCTGAGGGTTTAAGGGTTAGGCTTCATTGGCTATAACCAGGTTGCAGGATACTTGTTAGAACAACCATCGGGTACTGGTTCTTTGTAGGGAAGTGCAGAATGATGAGCGCAGGCTTCTGTACATGATATAGCTTTCTCGGGTTTGTAGGTTTTTGTGTGTATATATATGTATATATATATATATATATATCTACGTACAGTATCAAGACCCATTTCCACATCAACAGCTGGGATACCTCTCCGGTGGGTGCTGTAGCTCGTAAAAAGCAAAGAAAGGAGAAACAGAAAAAACAAAACATACATCGCCCATGGGAAGATTTAGACAGACATTTCCAGGAGGAATCTCGGAAGCCCATTGGGGCATGAGACGTTGCCGGGTTTAGTGCTGGGACTGGGGTTTTCAGGGAGGTTTACTTGCTATTGATGCTTCAGGGATTCAAGTCTACATACCCCAGCCCAAAAAAAGGTAATAACCTTTTTATATATAGTAGGATTCTATTCAACTAAAAAGGTTAAAGGTTACCTACCCAGTCCCTAAGAATCTGTGGCCGTCCTGCAGCAGGATGTCTTGAAGTTCAAGGGAACTGAACACCTGGGCCCGTTTGACGCAGTCATGCGGCATGATGGGGGTTCTTCTAGACCAGGGCCTCTGTTGAAACGCCCTCCTTTTGGAGGGTTTAGGGTTTAGGGTTTAGGGATTATAAGGGAGCTCCAATTTAGAACCCCCCCCCCCCCTCCCTCACCTTCCGTGGTCCAGAGATTTCCCGCATGCACCGGTGACTTCCAGAAAGGCCTGGGGCCTGACGCTGCAAACGTGAGAGCTCATAAACAAGTATGGCCTGTAGGGTTTAGGATTTAGGGTTTAGGGTTGAGGGTTCAGCGTCTTGTAGTATATTATCTGCAAAAGTTCCAATAAGTCCAAGTATGACAAATAACTATGAAAGCACGCAGGCACACACTTTCTCTCTGTCTCGCTCTCGTTGTGTTTCTTCGTTACTAGTGTATGTATACAAATATATGTATATATAGAGATTTATTTGTATACATATGTACATACACAAGTGTCCCTAAACCCTAAACCCTAAACTCGACACCCCAAACCCTAAACCCTAAACACCAAACCTCAAATGCTCATGTGGTCGGAACTTCGGTGTTTCAGTGATCGGCTGGCGTGCTGCAAGCTGATCTCCTGCCCCCTGACATCAACCCGCCGCAGCGCAAACTTCCACGTACCCCGATGATACATCCGCCTCATTCCGAAATATACTCTGAACATGTCTCATGGCAGGTGCAGTCATGTAAAAAGGGCTTGTGAGCGTACGTCGTGGCGGTTGGGGAGTGAAATTCCTGAGGCGCCAGCAACAACTCCAGTGATCAGCCACGGCAAGAAGGATCCGCAAGCACTTCTCCCAAACAGCCTTGGCGCTCGAAATCCCAAACAGGGTTCAGCGACTTGGGCCGGCTCACTCCAAGGTTCCACTCTTACGTTCCACTGGAGTTCTGGATACATAGCTCCATGATAGTAATGGAGCCTCAGGGTCCAATTTTGCTTGGTGGAACCAGGCCGGTCCACGCCCTGCAGGCTGCTGCGCTTCATCTTTGGCAGGGCGTGAAGGGTTTCGGTTTAGGATTTAGGGTGTAGGGTTTAGGGTGAGCAAGTCGATGCTCATCATAAACCCTAAGCATGGGCCATGTGACTTGCCTTTTTGAGGCTTAGAGTTTCGGGTTAAGCGATATTGGTTTAGGGTTTAAGGTGTGCATGGATTAGTGTTTGGTGCCTTGTGCGTGGTGGTTCGAGCCCTGCACCCTCGGAGCGTCCAGTCACCAGGCGCCCCGGCAACCAACCAAGCAACAAACATGCCAAAGACCAAGCAAGGCTCGAAGCCAGGGACCTGGCTGGGATTTGAGGGCTTATGGCTTGCTATAGCTACTATTTGCTTAAGAACCCCCCCAACAAAAACATTCAAAAAACGATTCTTCCTCATAAGGGTAGAGAGGGATGACTATCTTTCTTTCCATGTTTTTGTTTTTTTGGGTGGGGGGTTCTTAAGCAAATAGGAAATAGAGAAATCCATGCACCTTGAAGAACAGGAAATATCGAGTTGATAAATGCGGCCATCCTGGAGTAGGCTATGTACCCTTTAAGCAGGGTGTGTTCGCCGACAGGGTTTCTCGAATTTCGGTTTGAGGTTTACTCGTTGCTGGGGGCTGGGCACAGGGCACTGCTGTCTTCAAAGAGACTTTGCGCGGGCGGGGGGGGGGGGGAATCAGATGTAACCCTAAACCCTAAACACAAGGACCTGCTGGAATTTAGGGCGCCTTAAACCCTAAACTTTGGCCCTAAACCCTAAACCCAATAGGGTTTAGGGTTAAGGGGCTCAGTTTTGCAGAGTCTGGCCTTGGGGATTCCGGGCTTCGAAAAAAACGCCCGGAGCCTGAGCCCGGAAATTTCACTGCGTCCGTCTAACAGACTAGAGGGCTTACGGGTTTAGAGCCACCTATGTTCTGGGTCTAGGGTTTAGGGTTTAGGGTTTAGGGTTTAGGATTAGGGATTCAGGATTTAGGGTTCAGGGGAAAAGGGTTTAGGGGGACTGGGGTTTTTGGCATGTAGGGTAGAGGGGTTGGC